CAACTTTTGGGCAATACAAAATACCCAAACAAAGGGGAGATACAACAAAATTGCAAACTAAAAGGTCCTTAAAGAAAGAACCCTAAACAAAAGAAGTATATGGAATTACAACTTGGGATGCCTAATAAACAATGATTAGGTCATATATAGGCCCCAAAAGTTTCCACTTTTCATTCCAAGCAATGTGGGACAAAACTAACATTTTGGCCTATTACATATAAGTCCCTAAACCTTTTTCTATTATCACTTCTACCCCATGTGATTTGCTAAGAGTGATGCTATGGGTACTAACGGATGGGTACTAATCTGTGTACTAAATAAGTATAGTACCCGTACTATGCGTATATACCCGTACTATACTTAGTAGTACACAGATTAGACCCATCTGAGTTACCCAAAAGTATATCTTTTTGCTAAATGAGCCAATTTTTTCAACAAATCTCACCTTGGCGAATTAGCAAACCTTCAAGTTTTATCTTCTGTTCAAATTTTGCAACACCTTCAAATGCGCCAAAAGGCACAGTCAAGCGCGAGGATGTTGATCAAGTTCAAACAATAAATGAACTTGACCCTGGTCACTATGAAGTCAACATGTGTAGGGTTATCTTTGTCCAATCTTCTGGAGAGTCTTTCCCATTCTCAATATAATCCCACACAAAAAAAACCAATATCTATAGTACATAAAAATACTGTAGAACCATTTCACAACTTGCAAATGTCCTTTACCAGGATCATGCATCTGCCTGTCACCTATAACTGCTGTGAAATATCAGGCCTTGGTACCGTGGGGCCCATCATACATGATCAAATCGCTTGTACCACTGTCTTGGTGACTGCTTCAAAACTATATAGCGATTTTCTTCAATCTGCAAACCAATTTTCTTTCCAGCAACCCTATAATCTAGCTGAGTCATGTAGATTTCTCTCTTCCAAATACATGTGAAAAACGATTTTCACATCCAATTGAACTAGTTCAAAATCAACTGTGCCACCAAGGTTAGCAAAATTAGAATGGAAGAATACTTTACCACAGGAGAAAACACCTCACGTAATCAAATCCTTCCATTTGAGCGTATCCCTTTACTACCAACTTAACCTCTGTGCGAACATCTTCTCTATTAGGAAATCCCTTCTTCTACATACACCATTTGCACCCAATCACCTTCTTAGTAGGGATCGCATTCATCATTCATGGTCAGTTCCCAGATTCACCAATTTGAACTCATAACTACTTCTTATAAGTAGTAGGAATATCATCACTACAGTTGGAAGTGCATAAGCCACAATCTTAGTGAAACGAGCAGGCTTGCGAATTTCCGTCTTAACCTATTGTATGGCAATCGATTCCTGTTGCCGATGAGATTCTTGAGGTAAAAATCTATTTTCATCTATAATATCCACATAGTCACCTCAGAATCACCTGTCTTGTGGACACTATCTGGTTCAACTGTTGTTTCAAACTCCACCTGTTGCGCGAGTATGCTCACACACACATGCCACAGTTTGAGCATTTCTGAATCTGCATCTCCTGTACGACTGCAGCTGTCGTTCCAAAACTGTACTACCATTTAGTAATACAAGTTGTTTCTCCTGTGCCTTTCATTACCACAAGAGCGCCTGAAGAAACTTTAGAATTCATCTCGATATCATCGTAAAGCCTTAGATCCAAGGCTCCAAAAGAGATGAGATTCTTTTTCAACTTCGGTAATACCGAACATCTGTCAGAGGTCTAGTCAAGCCATCATGATTCTTCAACCGAATTGAACTATCCTAGTTGTGTTTACAAGCATCATCATTGCCCATATAAACACCTCATCATGTTCTTCAAATTAAAGAACCAGTCCTGGTGAGGACACATATGATAGGTACTACCTGAATCCATAATCACTCATTTGATCCAGAGGTGGATGGTAGGCTAACTAGACAGAAATCTGACTCATCCTCTTCACTCTCAACAACTTATGCATCGGAAGGAGATTTGCCCTCTTTCTTTTGCAACTTGGACAATTTTCTTCAAGCCCATTCTCACGACAAAAGGCACAATTGATCCCTATTGATTGTTCCTTTGAACGAGATCTCCTTCTCTCCTTTTTACGACTCTGATTTTGACTCCGCCCTTTGCTATAAGAGCTTATGCTGACCATCTCTATTCTCCTTGATCCTCTTTCTTCGAATTTCATGATTGGACAAAGAGAACAAACTTCTTCAAAGGACAATTTTTCTTTCCCATGAAGAAGTGTAATACTAAGAAGTCCAACTCATTGGAAGAGATCCAATTAAAAATATAGCCTTAGCTCATCTTGAAGTTCATCCAAATTTAACAAATCAGCAATAATCTGTTAAATGTATCAATATGGCTACTGATATCGTACCAGGTCTCAATGAAGATGAAACAGTCTTTTCATCAAATAGAGCGATTTTAATTATTCTCTCATGTATTTGGTTTCTAGCACCTTCCATAACTTATTGGCAGAAGTTCTTTCATGAATGGATATTTCTACTCTTACAAAGACATGAGCGAATCATCCCACACGTTTTACATTCAACCTCACCCAGTCTTTCTCATAGACATCTTTGCTTTTCCCCTTTAGACGATATCTAGATCTTGTTGATACAAGCTATCTATCACCTCACTCTGCCACAAGCCAAAATATTTTGGCCATCAAATTTTTCAACATCAATTTTGCATTTGAAAACCGTTATCATCTTTACTGGTGCGGATGGTGGTGTCGCGGATGTGATGCCTCGGACGATGAATCCCGGACAAATGATGCCATTTATGCCTTACTCAATTGGCTTGGTAAACAAAGTTCCAATAACCAAGCTCCAAAAATTATTATTCAATAGCAACCAACAAATCAACAATAGCCCAAGTAGTAGTAAGTGCTAAATGATAAATACGCACCGAAAAAATTCCCAGAAAACAATGGAGGGGTCACAAATGGGCCCACTTAAAATCCAGTCCTTAGATTTTATATCTTTGACAGAATTTTCCTAGACATGCCAACCATACAAATAGTACTCACTGGCTAAACCTAGGCTCTGATACCACTTATAGCACGGAAACATAAACTCTAAAGTAGCTATTGAATATAATAATAACAAGTAGTAAAGCATAAATAAATTGTCAAAATTAAATGCAAAAATAAAGAATACCAGGAATTACGAGGGTCGGTATTTAAAAACTACGTCCTCAGGCGCTGCAAAAGAAAACTCCACTACTCCAAACAATATTACAAACTTTTGGGCAATACAACAAATACCAAAACAAAAAGGGGGATACAACAAAAACTTGCAAACTAAAAGGTCCTTAAAGAAAGAACCATAAACAAAGAAGATAATGGAATTACAACTTGGATGCTTATAACAATGATTTAGATCCTTATTAAGGCCTAAAAGTTTCCCACTTTCATTCCAAGCAATGTGGACAAACTAACATTTTGGCCTATTACATATAAGTCCCTAAACCTTTTTCCATTATCAATTCTACCCCCATGTGATTTGCTAAATGAGCCATTTTTCCAATAGGAAAGTGGGAAATGCAAAGGGAAAACGCAATGACGGGAAAGAGAGAGAGAGAGAGAGGAGATGAGGAGGAGAGAGATGTCAAGACAAGAGAACGGCAGTTAATTTAAGAAAATTTTAAACCTTCAAAACGTCATTTATAAAAAACAAAGGGAGTATTATTATATTTTATTATAAATTTACTCTTAAATGGAGCACTGATCCAATAATGTCAGGTATAGATAAGATTTAAGTATGTATTGCAAATTTAAAAACTGAATCTATAATATAAAATTTACTAATCAAGATATCATAATTAACTTGTTAGGACAAGCATAAATACCAAATGTAAATAACATATCAATTTAATAAGATGAATGTAACAGTGATTACAATGATTATAATGAAACTAATATCTGACTAGAGAATGATTATCTATAAATAATTTTTTTTATAGTTAAAAATAGTCAGGTATAGATTACATTAACATAAATTTAAAATAATATAACCCAAACCAAATTAAAAAGATTAGTACCAATACAGCACACAACAGTAATCCACCATTACTAAAGTCGTAACTTTACTGTATAGCAACCAAGGCGATATACATGAACAATAAAACTATTATCTTTATAACACTAAATCTTTTGTAACATCATGGCGACATACTGTGGTTGTATAGTTATACCAAGAACCGGGGTAGAAACGTAAGTTGGAGAAAGCTGTAAAAGAGAAATTTTGCAAAATCATTGCTACAGCTAGTTTCATTTCCAGCAATTCAAATTTGTCCGATGGCATGTTCTGGGACCCAACTGAATGGGAAAAATGAAACTTGATGTCTTTGAGCCTTGAGAACTCCTTGGGCAAATCTATCGGATTGAACTCCTTTGCGTCGGCTCCCCAATATCTTCATCATGATGAACTGAAAGTTTGGTAATGAAATGAAAGCTCCAGGCGGATAGTAATTTCCCCCAGTTTGGCTTTAAGTGTTTGGTCTGAGTAACAAAGGTTGGTGGATATAATCTTAGTACCTCATGAAGAAGTTTGTTCACCTGCAACACATGTTTTCCAGTGAATTAACATCTAATAATAATAAGGAAGATTCTTAACATTATAACTCTCTAAGTAGAATAGAAATTAAGAATGGAATAGTACTTCTTTCAAGCGGTTTAAATCATCAAATGCGGTTCTTTGGCCCGAAAACTGGAAAACCTCTTTCTCTGCACGTTTGCCACTTTGGATGCATACTAACAAAATCATTGGCCATACAATCAAAGTTGCGGTGTATCCGTCCACGCAAGATAAAAAAGTTTGCATTCATCAATCACCTCTTCCATTCATTCCACTTTCTTTGTTCCCATGCTCTTGGATTCTTTGCGATTTGATTCCATAATAACCAGTAAATCAACGTGCTTGCTTCTCAACTTCAGGACCCTTCGCTTTTTTATGAGGCCTTTTATTCATTTCTCGAATTTCTTTGTCAGTGCTTTCAATCTCTATTTGCGTTGAGTGGGCACAAAACTGAAAATTAAAGAATTTCTCATCAGTGCATGAATGAAACGGGGTCTTGTACTCTTACAATCTAAATATGGACGACCAAAAAAAAAAAGAAGATGCTGAAAACCGTTTTTAGAAAATGGATTTAAAAGCCATTTTGAAACTTCTGTAAAGGAACTGTGAAAACACAAATTTAAGATTACTTATCATCTCTAATTTTTTTTTTTAAAACAAAAGTCACTATGAGTTGTTAATATTTTTTTCAATTTATAGAAGTACTTCTAAATTTGCAACCACACATAAATTTTTCTTTTGAGAAAAAAAGGGAAAAAAAAAAAAAATCTCGATAAAGTTTTTTAAATGTTTTTTTTTTTTATATATATACAAAATGCATCAGGTTAATCTGAAAGTATAAGATTCAATTCTTGTTCTTACTTTTCGAATTCATGTTTTGAAAAATTTCAACAAAACAATATAGAACAACCCAAATTAGCTAAGATTACCTCCATCCTGGGATGTGGAAGGTGTAGAAAACTTGATTCAAAAGATTGATTTGTTGGCTTATGAGTTCAAAAATTTTTCTTCCATCTTCATAACTACTATCAAATGTTGTCCGAGAAATCACATCTGATGTTAAAGCCTTAATGTCAGGCCAAACATCTAACTCACACGACCCTTCGTTTGAGATTGAAATCTTCCATTTTCTTATCATGTCGTTGCAACTTAGATACATCTTAGCTACCATACCCTATAAAGAAAAAGAAATAGAAGGAAAATGTGGAGTGCATGGAAATTAGATTGAGTAGATAACATGTGCAGTATAGGACACATAACAAAAGAGTAATTCTTAAATTTGAAGTCCTATTGCAATTTTTTTGGCCCCCTAATTAATAGGTTGATTAACCATTATTTAAAAAGATAGAAAGAAGAAAAACCTTCAACTTATCGAGATGGAAAGCTGGATTGGCTATCTTTCTGACTTTGAACCATTGTTCACCCTCATAGATCCCCATCCCACTAAATACCGACCTGCCAAGTGAGTTCAACTTCGGTTTTTGAAATATTTCATGCCTTAACATAATTTCCCTTATCAATTTGGGGTCTGTAATGTTTATATCTGGTATTGGACCCAACCATATGAATGAATTCTTTCCTGCATTGATTATAATTCACTCTGTGTTTTCATTAAATAAAATATAATACTAAATATATAAACTCTTCTATCAAACTAGTGTGTACAAAGTGAACGGACGAGTGCATATGAAAAATGAACTCAATATATATTCAATAAATATAGATGAATAATGTGTCAATAATTACTACATCATATACAGAATAGATGTGTTGATATAGGTATAATTATTTGTAATTTTTTTTTTCTCACAATCATTAAATTGTAAGACTTTACCGTACAATAAATAGTATCTGTGTAACTATTGTAGGATTAAAATGGTCAGAATTTTCATTATCCTATGTTTATTGTTAAAGGAACTTCGAATCTTGTCATTGTCATTAATTTGTATTCATGCTACTTTATATTATCTCGATATGTTGTAAGAATCAGCACCTCCGAATTTTTTTTTTCATATAATTTTTACTTGGTATAGTCAAATTTATTAATATTATTTTAAGGGTTACTTATGATATTGTGCCATGTAAAAGGAAACCATATCAAAAGTTTACTTATTTACTTTTAAAAACTGAGCCCCAAAACGATGGAAAAAACTTGTGTTACTGTATTTGTTTACTATTAAGATCACCCTAACTAATAACTATTGCTATTCCCAGTAATGATATAATTTAAAATTGGATCATAAGTTTTAAATCTTTGAAATGCTACATATACAAACTATTCTCTACAAATTGTGCGGCAACCTTGCATATTTGTCATGTAATCTCTTTTCATTGTTTAATTTATTTTTAATTTAAAATAATCCAGTAATCTTTAAAATATCAATTTGTATGAGAGTTTGTATATGAATCTCAAGGGATTAGCTTGACAATAAAAAATGTTTACTCCATTCATTAACTACCTGAGTTCGAACCACTTTGGGGCCAGCTACCACATTTGTGGTTTATCTTGAAATATTGGATTTGTAGGATGTTCAATGGACCTAACATATTAGTTAAGATGTGTGCAAGTTGGCCTAACCATCTTGATCATTAAAAAAAAATAAAAAATTTATATATGAAGTATTATCCTTAAATGTTTTAGTCAATTATATGATCTTGCTTTTGTGTTTACGACTTTATTCTTAATGCTGTTAATGGCAGACAAATGAAGATAAGAAAGATAAGGTGGTACCATTCCACTACTTAAGAAATTAAAAATTGTTGGCTAACTTTATCTTTTTAAACCTTTAACTATTTAAAATTTTATTTAATCCAATTATTTATTCGATAAGGACAAGCATATCTAGCCAAAGAAGCAAACACATTCTAGAACATAATAATACTTTATAATAGATATAATTAAAAGTCCACAGGAAACTACCAAAAAAAAAAAAAAAAAAAAAGAGAAAAATAGATGTTCCTAAGTATGAACTTGGTGAAGACTGAAGAGGAAGATACTAAAGACTAGCAAAGCAAACACAAACCGGCAATAAGTTAAACATGCTAGCTGGGAGCTAGTAATATTCTATAAATTTACTTTTGCAAAAATCAATTCATGACTTGTTAGCATCTTCATTTACAAGAAAACATTGACGAATTATAAGTTTCTAAGTGAGGAAAAAGGCATACCGTAGTTCCTGCAGATATGATGGTGGAATGGAATGACTCGCGATGCAATATCATGTGAGAAGGGGCTGATGGGTCGTGTTTTTGCTTGTTTCCTCATCATGAGCATCTCTGTTGTGTCTCCATGAAGAAGTTTGTACGGGTTGCCGGAGAAACCTTGTTGCCTAAGAAACTTCTCTAGCTTCTTTGGCTTCAACCAAACCCAGTCCAACAACATCCATAGACATGCTAAAAGGGCAGCAAAAGCAACAGAGAAGGCAATAGATGTCACTGGAATTGCCATTTTCAGGAAAGGTTATAGGAATTAAAGAGAGAAAAATCTGATTAAGAAAGTGATATTGAAATGAGGATACCTATTGAGTAGCGTCTTTTATGTTAATCAGGATAGTCAATTACTGTAGGGAAAACGGAAAACTAGTTAATTGTGGAGCCAATTATTAATGGTCAAGTCATCCTGGTGGAAAAGTTTCAAGTAAGATTTGTGAGTGGGGATGTTGATGGGCCAGCTATGGTATGGGTAAAAATAGACCCGACCCAAATCCATTGAGATAGAAAATCACAAAGTACGGCTGTGTTAGTGTGTTTGTTTCATTTTTTTCCTATCCTATCCCATCCAGTCCTACCCAAAATACATATTTGTTTCAATATTCTCAAAATCCAATCCAATCATATTCTATTCAACTCAAAATATTTAGATATTTTTAATCTCTTAGGTTTGTTAATTTAACTAAACACCCTAACAATAAAAAAATATAAATTGACAAAAACACCCCCCACCTATATATTCTTGGCAGCTGATCACCACCGTCGAAAGGTGACTGGAATCTATTGGAATGGCACACGACCAGTTGGTTGTGGTGGTCATACGCCAATCTAGCCTTTTACGGCCAGAGCCATAGTGGATCTGGCCAGAAAAGGTCAGATCTACGGCCAAAAATCTGGTTGTTGATGGCTAGATCTTGCCACATCTGATCGTCAACGACTACATGTGGCCAGATTTGGCTGTCAACGACCAGATCTTTGGCCATAGATCTAGCCTTTTCCGGCTAGATCCATGGCCGATCTGGTCGTGGCCAGAAAAGGCCAGATTGGTCCACGACCGGCTAGATCTAGTTGGTCGTACGCCATTCTAACGAATTTCGGCCACCCTCCGATGATGGTGGCCGACTGCCGGCATTTAATGGGTGGGTGGGGGTGTTTATATTAATTTTCAATGTTTTATTGTAGGGAGTGTTTAGCTAAATTAACAAATACAAGGGATTAAAAAATAATCTAAATATTTTCAGAAAATGTTTTTCAAAAATTTACCAAACACATTTTCAAATTCTAATCTTATTCTCGTAATAATAATCCAACTCAACCTTTTCAAAAATACTACTCAAAATACTCAACATTTTTCTTATTAGACTTTACCAGACCCAAAAATCATTTCTTCGGGTCATGTAATCTTTGGTTTCAAAGTAAAACAATGAATCCAACAATAAAAATAAAAAAAAGCAGTAGGATATTGGATTAACATACAAATNGGTCCTTAAAGAAAGAACCCTAAACAAAAGAAGTATAATGGAATTACAACTTGGGATGCCTAATAACAATGATTTAGGTCCTTATATATAGGCCCCAAAAGTTTCCCACTTTTCATTCCCAAGCAATGTGGGACAAACTAACATTTTGGCCTATTACATATAAGTCCCTAAACCTTTTTCTATTATCACTTCTACCCCCATGTGATTTTGCTAAGAGTGATGCTATGGGTACTAACGGATGGGTACTAATCTGTGTACTAACTAAAGTATAGTACCCGTACTATGCGTATAGTACCCGTACTATACTTTAGTTAGTACACAGATTAGTACCCATCTGTTAGTACCCAAAGTATTATTCTTTTGCTAAATGAGCCATTTTTCCAACAAATCTCCACCTTGGCGAATTAGCAAACCTTCAAAGTTTTATATTCTTCTGTCAAATTTTGCAACACCTTCAAATGCGCCAAAAGGCACAGTCAAGCTCGTAGGATGTTGATCAAGTTCAAACAATAAATGAACTTGACCCTTGTCACTACTGAAGTCAACATGTCTGTAGGATTATCTTCTGTTCCAATCTTCTGGAGAGTCATTTTCCCATTCTCAATATAATCCCACACAAAAACTAAACCAATATCTATAGTACATAAAATATACTGTAGAAACCATTTCACAACTTGCAAATGTCCTTTACCAGGATCATGCATATGCCTGCTCACCATACTAACTGCTTGTGAAATATCAGGCCTTGTGTACCCGTGGCCCATCATACATTGATCAAATCGCTTGTACCACTGTNTTGGATTAACATACAAATGGTTTAGAAATTAGAATAAGCTCATCTATAGTCTGATCCAACACTTACCAGATGATGTAATCTCATTGATTTGCAACTTAAAAATTTCAATTGATATATACATTCACAATGGCAACAATCTTTACACAAAACAGTTACAAATACATAATAAGTATGACAGGATAACAACCAACAAGATCCTCTTTAATTTTTTTTTTTCTCTTCTTCATTTTTTAGATGCTGATTTCTAAAATCCATAGTAACTAATATAGTTTAGATTATGTGGAATATTCATATTTGTCAAACTTATGAGTTATGTGTGCACATTAGTTGCCAATCTTATGATTTGGCTTGTTTCCCTTGTTGTGTGTGTGCACATCAGATCTGTGTGCACATTGGTTGCTAGACTTGTGTCTTGTCTTATTTCGTTTCGAGTGTGTATGCACAACAGTTTGTGCTTACACTCTCGCTTCAAATATTTGCAACCCAACACGAGTTGCATGTCTAATAAAGTGAAAAAGATATTTTTTATCTTTATTTCTTACTTTTTAAGACCTTTTTACATGTGTCATAGTATCCTTAAGTGGTCCTAGGAATAAAGTTTCTTTTCCCGATTTGCTTTGTGGTCCAAACCAAAAGAAGGAATACTTCCCTTTTTTGGACAAACATGGGTCAACTCCTTGTTGGTTGATGTGACACTAATGTGTTGAGCAAGAGACCGTACACTATATATTATCTTATCTTGCGTCTTTGAATCTAACCTTTTGATCTTTTATTTTCATTATAATTGAAATTTTCTTAGAGTATTCTTTCTCTTACGGTTCATAGGTTCATTTCCATTTTGTGCCAAAACCTCACAATGTCAAACATAGACTTGAGGCTCTTCGAACATGGTTCTTTTGCTGATGCTAGTGCGTGACGTCGGTGCTTGAAGCTTGGTGGTTCACTAGTTGTTCTCGGGTGTGTTGAAGAAGATCTAAGGAGTTGTTACACGTTAAGGATTCAGAGTGTGGTGTTAAGTGTAAAGTTGAACAGAGAGTTCTTTTTACTATATCTTTGACTAACTTTGAACTATATCTTGTAATGTGTTTTTAACTTAGTGGATTGCTTTGATCTGGACAAGATCCCATGGATGTAGGCTAAAAGTGGATTTAGCCAAACCATGTATATGGTTGTGTTATTTATTTTTCGCACTTGTATTTAATGTGGTTAAATTGGAAATGTCTTAAACTACTTGGTAATATTTCCACTGCACTTAAAATGGGTAACCATACACTAAAGTGAGTCAACCAACAACTCTTTCCCTAACAACTGGTATCAGAGTATTTCATGATAAGTTGCTTCAGTTGATCTTTACCCAATTTGGTTGATTTTGTTCGCATCTAAAAGGTCTGGTAGTTGGAAGAAATCTAATCTGTGTTGCGTTTTTATTTTAGATCTGCTGCGTGTTCTGTGTGTGCACTGTTGTTTGTTGTGTTATCATTTTTCTATTTGTTTTTCATCATGAGTTTCTTCACTGAAGGAGGATTTGCTCATAGATCACCTCTATTAGAAGGACCTAACTATTATACATGAAGACCTAGGATGTGTGCTTTTATTAAGTCTATAGATGAAAGAGTCTGGTCCATAGTTGTGAATGGTTGGACAACCCTGGTTATTGTTGAAAATGAAGTGTTTAGACCAAAACTGGTTGCTAGTTGGACTGCTGATGAGTTAACTGTTGCAAACTTTAACTCTAAAGCCATTCATGCCCTTTTTAATGCTGTTAATGTGAACCAAATGAAAATCATAGCTAATTGTGAGCTTGCTAAAGATGCTTGGGATAAGCTTCAAGTCAAGAATGAGGGCACTAGTGCTGTTAAAAGAAATAGGCTTAGATGACTTGTCATTGATTTTGAAAATATGAACATGGGTGAAGATAAGACTATAACTAACTTTTATGGTAGAGTTTGTGATATTTCTATGAGTGTTTTGCCTTAGGAAGAACATATACTAATGTTAAACTTGTTAGGAAAGTGCTTTGCTCTTTACCACGGAGGTTTATGTCAAAAGTGACTACCATTGAAGAATGCCGAGATGTGGATGCTATGGACATTGATGAACTCATTGGCTCTCTTCAAACCTATGAACTGAATCTAAAACATTGGGAAAAACAAAAACCGAGCAAAGATTTGGCTCTCAAACATGAGGTTGATTCTAATCCTTTTGATGATTGTGATTTAAGTTCATTGGATGATAAAAATTGTGCTTTACTTACAAAGAATTTTGCTAAGTTTCTTAAGAAAAACATGAAAAACCCTCATAATAGTGGTTATGGCCAAAAAACTTTTGTGAAAAAGTCTTATGACCATCAAACCCTTGGTACTTTTACAAGGAAATTTTTAAAAGATAAAGAAAAGAAAAATAAAGGTATCAAGTGTTTTGAATGTGAGGCCTTTGGGCACATACAATCTGAGTGTGCTAACACACTGAAAAAGAAGAAAGGTAAGGCCATGGTTGCCATTTTGAGTGAGAGTGAACATGATAAGAGTGATGACGATTATTCAGGTGATGATGAAAATGTTCTAGCCTTCACTATGAACCAAGAAGATGGTAAGAGTGAGGTCTTGGATGATACTGTTGTTATTTATGTTGAACAGCAATAGGCATATGATAAAATATATGTTCAATGGTTAAAGGCTGTGAAAAAGTTGCAATCTCTTGGTATAGAAAATGCTATTTTGTTAATTCAAAAGAAAGCCTTGTCCGAAAAGATTGTTGTTCTTACTGCTGAACTAACTGAGGCTAAGGCCATCATTGATAAGTTGAATATAGGTTTTCTTAAGCTTGATGAAGACCTTGGTCAAGGAAAATCCTTCAGAGATCGGTATGGTTTGGGCTTCAGTCCTGGTGCTAGCACATCAAAAGCTGGTGCAAGCATGTTTGTGAAGGCCATCAAAACTCCTACTGAAGGTGTCAAAATTCATTCATATCTACATTTTTGAAATAGGAAAGGTCACATCAGACCCAAATGTTTTAGGTATATTACTTATTTGAAGAAAGTTCTTAAAAACCATAGTTTTGTTGCTAATGTAAATCATAATGCTAACAATGGTTTTTCTTCC